CAGACTGCCGCGCCGCCGCGTGCCCCCCCCCCCAACTAAGTTAGCACCACCTCAAATTCTTTGACATGTGAGTTGTAATACTTAAATACATGTATAGTTATATCTGCTTATTTATTTAGCGCCCTAGCCAGATTTCGTACCTGATCTCGTGTTTTCCACGCAAGTATGCTACCATTTACACCACCGACTCAGCTGGATGGTGAATTTACCATAGCTTATCACCATTCACACGTATTAGGTAGTGGACAGGTTAGCCGACATGGGCAGTAAACCGCAAGGCTAAAAGCTTTATTGGATGTTGAATAATTGTCTTCTTTTAGTAGGATCCCTGCTGTTTTACCTTGCGAAAATTATCAAAAGAATGCTGAGTTGTGGGAAAAACGTTATTTCGGCTAAGCGGCTTAGCACGAGATACGTGTGAACCCTTACAAGCTATGGTAGAATTATCATCGAAGTTGGAGTGAAATGGTGCCCCGGTGGTGTAACTGGTAGCACAATTGCCCGGAAAGCAAGAGATCCGGGTACGAATCCCGCTGGGGCGAAAGTTTTGCTCACAACTGAGCATCCTTGTGATAGCTGATAACATCTGTTTCTTTTTCTTTTTGTTACCACTTTCGAATTATTCTTCTTCTGTTGCTTCAACCTTCAAACCAATTGCTCTCTTCATTCAGAAAAAAATAACGGCATGCTAAGGAGAAGAGAACGCTCGGCAAGCGGAGCGGATCGCCCTCTAATCGCATTCTCAGATCAGCAGACATCGATCGGTCCGACTTCAAACAGCTGTACGTGTGAAGATTAACGGGTTTCGCCAATCGTTCCCTATGTTTCTCATAGCATTGTGTATTTTGTTCTTTAACAAAACGTGTCATATCGATCGCTTCTATTTTTATGCTTCAATCTATCGATTAATGTTTGTTTCAAGTTTTCAAAATTCTCCAACAATTCGTTCCAATATGAGCATTTTTGCATGACCTGCAACATAGACAAAACGACAGTACAGGTTGCAATCCAAAAATACCGTAATCGTGTTCTGTGCACGCTGTGAATTTGATTACGGTATTCACCAGTACGTCTTCTTGAAAATCTTCCAACGTGCTATTGCATGAATTTTCAGTGTTCTAAGTTTATAATTTGACCCATCATTTTCCTTTTGAACTTGGAATTTTTTCAAGCAGACTTTCACTAGGCGATCTCATTAAAAATGCGGATCGATTGAATTTTCACAAACGTGAACGAAATCGCTTTCGAATTTAACAGAACGCTACATCGATCGAAACAACTTGATTCCGCGTTCTTACGATTGCGCACACTAGCAGCGATGATTCATTGCAGGAAAAACCCCTATTACTCAACATTCCAATGAAAATCAGCCTTAACCCATTTCGGACCGCCGTACTTCATGAATCTCCCCATTTTTTCATTACTTTCTCTTTATCAACACTAAATAAATTGTCAACAATTTGATGAATAATGAGATTGATTTTGCTGGGTTCGAAATATAATACTGCAGTGAATCATCGTTGTTTTGCGGGTCCGAAAAATATAAGTGCATCTGAATCAAGCAAAATGAATTGTCTCCGGATTTCCGCGGGGTGCACCTGTGCATGATGCATCTGCAGTGGCTTAGCGCCCTATAGCTAATTTACTCAGTGCATTTCTACTTTTGAATATTCATTATCGTCATATTTACTTGTACTCTTACATGTTGTACATGGGAAACAATTAGCAATTAGGCCTCATGAAGGTGGGAAAGGGTGGAGGGGGAGAGAACTTTTCGAGGCAATGCACCCGAAGCATTCAAGAAGCGATTACGATAAAGAGGGAGCGCATCGGGGAAGCATATGCACCACACGAAGCAGTTACTTGGCTGCCAAGGAAGCGAGGTGTGGCGCTTTCACGACGAAAGGTGCGCTGGTTGCTGAGCAGGACTTCGAAAGCGCTCCGCCCCCAAAAGCGATCCGCCCACTAGTTTAGTTGGTGATTTGGACGAGCTGCGTTGCCAGCAGCTGCACAACTAGGGCAATTAGGCTGGGGCAGGAATTAACATGGTGCCAGCAAACGCACTCGTCCATGTCCGCTTTCTTGGCCGTTGCTCGTCCTTGAGCAATGATCAACGGCAATCAAGGGGGTCTATCTTGACGGATGCAGGATTTCTGTGAGTTTTGGCATTGGTATACCATCGAGCACACAAGTTCAACCGTGCGATGAACAGTTTTTAAAATTTTTACGACCCCTCCCTCTTCGGAGGGTATCAGTACGACCCCCTGTATTAGCTATTGTGTCTTTTTTACATAATTTATGCCATCATCGATGTATGGGCCGTCACCGACATGGAGAGGTGGTGGACAGTGGTAAGTCCGCGCGCTTTGTCTCGCTCAGAGGACGGAAATCGAGGCAACATGAAATTTTACTCATAAATAGAAGCAGTCTGAAGCGTAAGCCTAGGCTGGTAGTAATCGCAGAGCATTTCTACTTTCAGAATCCTACCGAGTTTCTTTTCGATCTCCCAAATCTCCCTTTTTTAAAACAGAATAATCCTGCAGAAACCTTGCAGCAATTACGTGCGATACAAAACTCTTCAATTGAGAAGTTCTAAGTTTATATTAATATGATATTTATTATAAATTCAAAAGGGTATAAGTTCATAAGTAGGTTCAAGAGTGGTTTCATGAGATGGGATACGAAAATTTGAAAACTACAAATAGTTTTCTTTCCAAAAAGTTTTGAAATGTTGCAATGTTCAATATTTCAAAAAATCGTCCCGTTGTTCCGTTTTTTGTGCACACGCGAGTTTTCGACATTCAAACGTTCATAACTTCCTTCATTATTGATTTTTTGCACTTTCTTTAAGGCTAATTAGAAACTACAATACTTCTACTTTTTTCTTTCATCGACGGTTTGCATCTTTCTGTCGCAAACGGCTCGCCATTTGGAAGAAATGGTTCGCGCGATTTGAAAGTTACATTAACTGATAGCTCTGCTCGAGATCTACAAGATGGTTAAATTCAATTTCTGAAAGAGCTCCATCTAGGATTGCGCCATGCACTCGACCTCCATCCCGAGAAGTAATTGTTTGTGTGTGGTGCGCTTTGTATGTGATGCGCATATAAGTCCTCCTATGCAGCCTGATCATCCCACAGAAACATGGATCTCAACACCTTCAGAGAATGCCACGTACCCAACTATCCACCATATTGTGAGATTGAATGAATGTTTTTTTTTCGAATTTCACGATCTTTATTTCGTTTAAGCGCTTACTGGCTTTACGTGTTCCCTCTGCTCTCAATATCCCATCCTCTGTATATCAAGTGGAAATCTTTGAACAGTTCTCAGCAGGCATAGTGGGCCTATTATGTGACATTTTCCATTTTCAGAGGAGATGTTTTGCAGAAAGCTGTGAAGATAGCGAAAATTTCTTCACTGTCGTAGACTACGGTCACTTGTCTGTAGGAATTATGTGGAAAACTTGGTCGCAGGTGAGCGTTCCTTCCGTGGTGTGGCCCCAAACATGCCTCCTCGTCATGCCCTTGTGGAATGATCAGATTTTTTGCATTTCCAGATGAACTCGCAGACCTGAGATGTGCCCCATTGATTCCCCGTGAAAAATGCTATCGAATGATATACATATAGTTCCCAGTTGAAACTTTGTTTTTTCACCGTTTTCAGCCTTCTCCTTATTGCCGATCGCCTTTCACAGCCCTTGGTGGCCACGTGCGATTCACGTGCGCTCATGATAACTCTTTCAGAAAATCGCCTCGTTGTTCCGTTTTTTTTCTTCTATGGCTTTTTAGGAGGTTTTTTTCTCCTTAATCCCTAGTTTTCAACATTCAAATGGCCATAGGTTTCTTCAAAATTGATATTTTGAGAATGAGTAAAAGCATTAACATCAACAAGATCAGTACTTTATAGCGCATTCTAGGTTATCTTGAGTGGGAAACATTTCTCCTGTCAGAGGTTTCTATTTGGAGTCTCATGGTCCGAATCCGCTGCATTTTCATCTACTTTGATTTGTTTTAAGGGCATGAGGGTTTCTTAGAGAACTTTTTGCTTGTGCTTACTGGGACATGACGTATTTTAGTGAGAAATCTCGCTCTGGGATGCGCCATTCAATCGTCTGTGGTGCGCAGTCGCAGTGGTAGTTGAAAGTGTCCCCTTTGCCACTTAGCCATGCCTTGGCACCTTCAAATTTTGTGATTGGTACTTGAGGTTACGACCCTCTCTCCATTCCGTTGACCAAATACAACCCCCTCCTTGTTTTTTTGCGCAACGTGTGCTTGACTCTGCTGGAAGGTTTAACAGTCTGTGTAAAAGAGAATGTAGCTCGCATACCCATTCCACATTAATTCACGTTGGAGTTCTAGTTTGCAGAGACGTCTTATGACTTAATTAAACATTTCAGCTTCTTCTTTACGACTTTGATCCTTCCATGGAATGTACCTCATATTCTGGTTCATAGTGCCCGCTTTGCTCGATTTAGCCTTGTCATCAGTGTAAGTATTTCAATTCACTGTTAGAGTGTTGTTCCCGTCGTCATTCCCTCCTATATTTCAAACACATAGCTAAGGGTAGTGTGCAGAAATGGTTTGGGGAAGACACTCTCCTTCCCTAATAGCATTTGAGCTCAAGGCCC